TCTACTTTCTTTGTGGCTCAAGAGTTCCTTTCTTTCCTATTCATTAAACTCTGTATTAAAATGTACATACATGTATATAACTATCTCATTCAACACTTCTTTTATTGGAAATGTTATTCTGGAACCTTTAAATGTGCAATCTTAATTCTTCAACAGCTGAGTTTACACTAACTAGCTTTGCCCTCAACTATCAAAACCTCATCACCACTATGGACTAGGCACTTTTGTTTCTGTTCTGTGATATCAGGGCTGGGTTGAAAGTGCATAAAAGTTTGTGATTATCGAGTTTTCCCTTTACTACAAATACTATTACATTTTACCCTTAATTCCTTTGCTCTGTCATCTGTCCAATACTGATAATCTTAGCTTTCACATTTATTTTTTATTATATATATATATCATATATATATATATATAAATTATTCCTTTTCTTATTCAAATAGATGATTGTTTGTTTGGTTTTTGCTATTGTTGTTGTTCTGGGTTTTTGAGACAGTCTCACTGTTTAGCCCTGGTGGTCCTAGAACTCATTATATAGACCAGGCTGGCCTAGAACTCAAAGAGATTCTCCTGCCTCCACCTCCCAAGTGCTGGGATTAAAGGCACCACCAGGCCCAGCTCCAGATTGTCTTTTAATTAATATCAATCTATGTTTTCTGTGAAAGATCTAAATTTTGAACTTCTATTTCTTATCCTTCCTTTGCTTTAAATTAAAAACAACAACAACAACAAAAAAAACAATTTAAACTTTCCTATTTCAACTGAACTGGCCACGTGTCCTCCCTTTCTAGTGGTCTGGAAACTATAAAATTGTATTTACAAGATTTTTGTTATTCCTTTAAGCATTTGTTTGTATACATTTAATTATGTGATGATCTAAAAATGTCTGAAATTGCTTGATATTTCTGTCTTCTTCTTAAACATGATATGGGTCTTACATTGCACCATCCCACACTATAAACTTTCCCTCATTAACCTACTGTTGCCACTGTATAAAGTCACATTGTCAAATATGGCATCTGTAATTCCCACTAGGCTTTCAAACACTTGCTATGTGTTTGCAGTGTGAACTGAGATATGTTCTAAGTATAAAATACACACTGAGTTTTAAAGACAACATTACAAAGTAGGAGTGAAATATCTCAAGAATTTTGTACTGATTATATGTTGAAATTATAGTAATTTGGAAATATTGGGCTAAATACATTAATATTGCCTTTCTTCAGTAATATAGTCACTAATAAAAATGCAAATTTGGCTAGCATTACATTTCTACTAGACAGTGTTTATCTACCCTTAATTGCCTCTTTGTCTTGCTGTTTTGCAATGCAATGCTGAAAATCAAACCCAGGACCTCCCACATGCTAGGCGCTAGGAGAGCAGTGACACTGGGCTTCATCTCTAGCACTGTTAACTATTAGTAGATGGCCTTTCTGTGCTCCAGAACTGTGGGGCTGAGTGTACTGGCACATGCACTGCTTACTAGCTTACTGCTTTAGGTTTAGTTTTGTTTTAAACAGATCAAATGCAAAAGTAAAGGCAAACCCTCAGAATTATATTTCCTGCACCATTAATAGTTACAGTGAACATTTCACCTAATTAAAATTCCTCAGTCTGGATTATATTTATCTGATATAATGTGGTACATGGCCTTATCAAATACACTTCATTTTCTTCTTGTATCAGCTGAGAAGAAATCCTGTCAGTTTACTTTATACTTTTAACTTTACAGCTTTTTAATTCTTTTAACTTTTTTTCTTTTTTGCTTTGTTTGTTTGTTTGTTTGTTTTTTCAAGACAGGGTTTCTCTGTGCAACAATCCTGGATGTCCTGAACTCACTTGGTAGACCAGGCTGGTCTCAAACTCACTGAGATCTGCCTGCCTCTGCCTCCTAAATGCTGGGATTAAAGGTGGGCACCACCACCACCTGGCTACTTTTAATACTTTTTAATTTTATGCTAATGGGTATTTTTCCTGCATGTATGTCTGTGTACCACATGTGTGTCTGGTACCCACAGAGGCTAGAATGGGGTTCACTGGGACTGGAGTTATAGGGGGTTGTGAACCCCCATGTGGGCACTGGGAATTGAATCCAGGTCTTCTGAAAGAGCAAAAACCACTCAGCCATTTCTTTAGCTCCCACTTAAGATATAATCTAGAGTTTTAGCACAACCTGTCCAGATACAGATTCACGATGACCCTGTTTCATAGTCTAAAGAAACTGGCTCTCTCTTATTACTAAATAGTCTGAACAATTATCAAGTTAATTTCCCAGAAATCTCTGTAACTTATTATTTACAATTAAATAATTAATTTTGAAATAAGCTTCCACGTGAGTCCCAAACTGACCTCAAATCTGAGATCTTCCAGTTTCCTAAATGCTGGGATTTTAGGTGTGCACCACTATGTCCAGTTTTGTAATTTTTTATATATATTGTAGTTTCTCAGTTAATCTTGTATTTTAATTATATACTCATAACTTTTAATACCTTTTAATCCTTTTTTTGATATACTTGATGAGTATTTTGGTATTATTTTCCAACTTCCAATTCACTCATCAGTAATAAAGAGTAAAGTTCATCTGATTAATTAAACTTAAAATTTTTTACCTATTTTAATATGTGCTATTATTGCTTATTTTGCATTTGAGACAGTGTCTCATTAGTACAGGTTGGCCTCCAACTCAACATATAGTCAAAGATTACCTTGAATCCCTCCCAGTTTTCCTGTTTCCCTCCCAAGTGCTGGGATTACAGGCCTGAGCCACCATATCCAATTCTGTGCAGCATTAAATTCAGGGGCTTCACATATGCTAACCAAGAACTCTCCCAATTAAGCTACATCTCCAGCCCCCATTTTTTTTTTTTTAATTTTGGAGCTAGAGATTGAACTCAGAGGCTCACATATGCTAAGCACACACTTTACTTCTGACCTACATTTCAGCCCAAAACTGGAACTATGCCCCTTCAAGTGTCAAGTCTTTTTGGGTTTTGTTGTTGTTGTTGTTGCTGTTTTCCCTAGTAATGTTGTGAGATCAAGCCCAGGACATGCTAAGCAAATACCCTATCACTGAGCTAAGGCCTTAGCTATACCCTCCCCCTCTAGAATACAATTATGTAACAACATTTTTAATTTCTATGTGTTCTAATCAGTTCTTTACTATATAAACCTGCTACTTTCATCTCTTTTAATGTATACTTTCAGTGTATACATTAAAAGTAATGAAGAGTATACTTTACCTCTTTAAGCATCCAAAAAGGTTTTAAAGTTCTCCCAATCAATGGAATACTATGCAGCTGTTAAAAAGAATAAGATCATCCCATGGATACTAATATGAAATGATCTCTAAATATGTTCATTTAAAAAGGCCAGGAATATAATAGTATGTGTAGAATGCTACCATTTATATAAAAGTGTATGTGAGGTATATGTGTGTATGTGTATATTTATGCTTGCACATGCATAAACTATCTCAGAAAATATAGCAAATTAGTAATAGTGGTTGCCTCTGGGGAGGGAAACTGGGTGGCCAGGCGACAGAGGTGGAAATAGACTTACTTTTCACTGTTTACCCTTTTGTACCTTTGAATTTTGTACCACGTGCATGTATTACCTAGTCAAAAAAAAAATAAATAATTTATTTTTAAAAATAAAGTCTTTGTTGGACTACTTACTCCATAAAGTTAATTTCATCCAGAGAAATCCCTGTTCTGGTGGTTTGAATTTGTTGTATTAATATTAGATGTCTTCAAGAATGTTGAAATTTTGGTTATAGGCTTGAGTGGAAAAAGTTAACTTTTTTCTCTCCCTCCCTATTTAAGGGTTTTAGAATTACCTCTACTTGGCCATCTGGGCCCCTAGTCTATCACCAGGTTTTAACATTTCAGGGCTCCAGTTTCGTGATAATATTAGAAATAACACACATACACATCCAGTCACTGGCAAACACCTTCATTCAATTTCTGTCATGAGGCTTTATTAGCTAAAACCTACAGCCCCAGGGAGCAAAATAGCTTTTTCTTTCTTCAGCCTTTCATAAATGAGACAGATATTTCAGCTAATGGCTTCATGTGGTGATTGTGGCTCTGGGTCTTTCTGCACACAAAACTCCTCAGTGCTTTTAATCTTTTTAACTGATAAGATCTTAACCAGGTATCAGTGCTGCAGTGAAAGCCCAGCATCCTGTAGCTTCAGCCGTGTGCAATCTCAGGTCTGCCCTCTCTGATCAGAGGTGCTGACATTTGTTCTGGAACCTAACTGCAACTTTGTACTACTTATTCGCTGGTTCTGCATGTATGCGTCAGAGGAGTTACATCAAAACACAGTATGCTACCTAAACTACAAGTAATTCTTATATTTCCTTTTTAGGTAACATTGAAAGTAATAATTATAAAATGCAATTTCATTTCATATAGTTTAGAAAATAGAAAATTAATGGTAAACTACCCAATTTAAACTACTGTTAGGAGTTAAAAACAATCTTTTAATCTTCTATATCATTTCATACTTGTATAATTTGTATGACTTTAATTTACATAATCCCAAACATTTGTCTATAGTGTTACATAATCTCTACAATCATCATTTTTAGGACTGCAGATTAATCCACCAAACTGTTCACCTGTAATTTACTTCACAAATCACTGAATAGGGAAGGAGCTAGCATCCAAGGATGTTACAAAGATGTTTCTCTCCATGTGTTTTTCCTCTCAATACTCTGGATGTGGGTGTGGTATGACTGTGAGAGATGGTAAGCCAGTGCAGTAGTGGCTTAAGTACATGGCTAAGGTTCATAGTGATGACCTTGACATACAAAGAGGAAAGAAAAAAATTGCATGGAAGTAAATGATATATTGAAGAAGAGTTCCAATCCAAAAAATCATTAACAGTAAAATTTGCAATTGTAAGTTTTGCAACTGGGTAATGCATGACATATTCTCATAACTTGCAAACCAGACTACGAGTCACACTAAAAGCTCATTGTTTACCAGAACACTCACCTGATATTATTCACACAGTCTTCATGCGCTTCAGAAAGGGTTTTTATGTGCTTTGAAGAAATAGGGTCAAAAAGCAGAACTTCAGTCTGTTCACAAGCAACTGTCAGCACTGACCTGAAAGGAAAGAACACACTTCTTGTTTACTTTTCTAAGACTCTCTGGTTCACTTATAATTATACATATTATAGATAAATTTTTCTCTGAGAATTTAGTAGAGTGAAAAAATTATTAACAAATATAGAGAGACACAAAACATATGCTTCACCGTAAAAAGGAGAAATTGAAAGCAACCTAACATGAGAGAAAGAGTATTTTTTAACTGTCCTACTATTCATGAGGGAAATATCTCAAACCCTAAGTGGATGTCTGAAAGTCCAAATTGTAAGGAATCCTATACATACTGTCTCCTTCCTGTACATACTCATGAAAAGCTTATTTACAAGTTAGACTCAGTAAAGATTATAACTACAGTTATAACTATACGGTGGTGAATGCTACTTAAGTGTGTTCATTCTCAAAGCATATCATCCCGCTGCAGATCTTAGCAGTCTTGCATGGTTGTTTTGTTTGTTGTTTATATTGTCAAGTGGAGAACTTCCAATCTTTTCAGCTGCAGGATGAACCCTATGGCTGCTCTCTGGCATACTCCAACTGTCAGCACCACTACTCTTGTGCTCTGTAGGTCTTACTACCTAAAATAACAGTTATACTGTGAAACCTGAGTTTTGGTAACTGAGAGCTCCCAAGTGACTTACAATGCGTTCTTGCACATAATATGGATACAGTAAAAGGGGATGTTCCACGTGGAACAGAGCGGAATGATAAGCGATTTCATCAAACTATGAAGAATGGCATGAAATGTAAAACTTGAGTTATTTCTCGAATTTTTTCATATGCTTTTTGTGTACTATGGTTGATTAGGGGTGACTGCAAAGTGAAGTCATGAATAATGGGAAATTCCAGCCGGGTGGTAGTGGCGCACGCCTTTAATCCCAGCCCTGGGGGAGACAGAGGCAGACGGATCTCTGTGAGTTCGAGGCCAACCTGGTCTACAAGAGCTAGTTCCAGGACAGGCTCCAAAGCCACAGAGAAACCTTGTCTCGAAAAACCAAATAATAATAATAAAAATAGAAAATTCCTTTTCATATCTTAACAAAAGGGCAGTGTGGGCTTTTGAATTTAAAATAGCCACCAATCCTCATAGGTTCATACAGAGTGTCACACTTAGGAGGTATGGCCTTACTGGAGGAAGTTTGTCACTGGGGAGTGGGCTTTGAGGTTTCAAAAGCCCAAGCAAATTCAGTGACTCTCTCTTCTTGCTGCCTGTGAATCCAGATGTAGAACTCAGTTTTTCTATTCTCCTATCAGGCAGACTTACAACTTAAGAGGACAGCTTACAAACTTTTAATTAGATATTCAATGGCTAAAGCCCTAGTTATAATATTCTTATGACCTTGAGCCACTAGGTAAAATTCTTAAAGGGAGCAATAAGCCATTTCCAATAGAGAGCTTATAAAAGCCACCAGTCAGGTACTCAAGCAGGTAAAATATAGATCAACAGGTAAAGTATACAATAATCTACAAGCACAGTATATTATGATTCAGCTATAGCGAGTGTGTGTATTAAGTACAAAACTTATTCTACAACAGTTTTATGAGAAAACAAAATGCTTTTTATGACTACACTTTCCTGTTTTTGCCAGTTAAGATATTAAACTCTTAATTTAGAGCAGTAGCCTGTCTGGTACAAAAGAGCAAGATGAAATCTGGGAGATGGTTTGACAGAATATTGATTATAATCAGTATTTTTTATACCAAGCAATAGATCAATTAATAATTTTAAAGTAGTAATTCTTGAACAATTGTGTTTGCTCAATTCAAAGGCCAGAATAATAATCGTTGCTGCAATTCACACAACTGTATTTTGCTAATGTTATAACTAAAAATCCCTTAAAGGATTTTATACTAAATTTTACAAATGGCTCATCAAATGGAAGAACTGCATTTATGATTAATAATAATAATAAAATTGTAGCGCATGCCATGACTCCTTGAAAACAACTTATATAAAAGTCGCAAACAGATCCTGATGCAAACAGATCTGACATGATGGCACTAAGGTGACCTTTACTAAGGCAAAGTAAAAAAGCCCTTGCAATAAATTATAAAAAGACCTGACCTATATATATTTGGTGTCAAGGATGTGTTTGTACTTTTTTCACAGAAAGAAAATAAAGCTGGACCTGATGACGTCGTAGCTGCAAACACCCCATAAAGAAGTTCAATAAACGAGTTGGAGAGGAATCTTTGATCCAGTCTTCCCTGTCCCCACAGAGAGGTGGGCCTGAGAGCAGGATCTGCTAAGCCACTCTACACTCTACACTCTACACTGTGTCATTCTGCCTCCAGAGAGTCCGCACAAAGAGACCCTGCTGAGCTAATTGTCAAGATGTGCTTCAGGTAGCAGAATCCAGCTCTCCTCACCCTGGAATCCCACCTGCCCTGAAGCACAAATGCTGAGCTGCTTCCAGAGACAGAGGCCCTGCTGAGATGACCTGACCATGGCGACTACAATTTTCTGCAGTTTGAATCCTGTTTCCTTTGGAGCTAATATGCAGACTAAACATCTGACTGTTTTAATCTTTAAGACACAGAACTCATTCTGATTAAAATATTAACCCCTCTTCACTTAAGAAGGGGAAAGACTTGGGGTTTGACTGTTGCTCAGAGACTGGAACTGGTGTTTGATAACAGTGTCTGTCATTGTACTGTTACTGGAATTGACCTAATGATATTTGTAACTGCTTATAGATGTTGAGAAGAGTTTGACACACCCTATAAAATGTTTGGGTTTAATGCATATGTTAAAAATTTTAGATTGATCCCTTTGCGCTGCCCTAAAAGAAAAATGTTGTTTCTATACTGATCACACTGGGATAGTTAGAGACAATTTTGCTAAGGTCAGAAAAGGATTAGAGCGTAGAAAAAAGCAAAGAGAGCAAGAGGAGGGATGGTTTCCCCTGTATCACTACCCTCTTACCCTTCCCTTTTGGGACCCATTTTAGGATTTTTATTATTGATGGCTTTTGAACCGCGGGCCCTTCATAGGCTCACTAAGTTTATTTGCTAATAGGTGGCATCTAAGCCCATTCAGGTTCATTATCACTGGCATGATCTGGCTGATCGAAGGCTAGAAGCCCCTTGAGAGCGAGTCTCCTATTGGAGCCACATAAAACCCAGAGATATGTGTGTCTGTCCACGACAAACATGGGTACCAGCAGAAGGGGTGCTAGACAAACTGCAGGGAGAAGACCATGCATTCTGTCTCTGGGTCTCCTGAGGAATTTGAATGACTGCACAGAGGTTGATGTCCAGAGGTATTGATATAAAAACCTAGACCCTCTCCTCCCAAAAAAGACATCTGTACCTTTGAAAAGAAAATTCTTCCACCAAGTTGGAAAGAATTTTCCCCCACCAATTAAACGTGGGAGGATTGGGCCTCTGTTCCCACCCCCCAACTGGTTAATGCCCGCTCATCTACTAGATGACCTTTAACTCACCTCATTCTAATACTTAAAAAGGGCAGACCTGCTGGAAGCAAAGACCTGTATTTTGAGATCTGCATTTTGTTTACAGCCTTCTTAAATTCACAAGTAAGATATTCACCTTTGTAGGCAAGTTCCAGACCTAGGACATCAGCCTTGTGAGACCTGCAGGCACCAGGCTTTCAGAGAACATTAGCATTTTCCTTTGTTAGTCAACAATCACAGACCCTCAGTATTTACCTATCAGTTAGGGAGGTCTCCAGGCCTGAATTCCAGCAGACCTGACACACCTCCCCCTCCCCTCTAGCCCGTTTGCTATATAACAGCTTCTGAGAATAATAAACTCGGCGGTTTGATCAGAAATACCATCTTGCCGTCATTCTTGTGTCTCTTGTCCCTCCACTCCTCTCCCCTAGGTTTATGAGGGACCACCGTTCGTATATGCCTGAGTGCTGCCATGTTCCCTCCCATAATGACAATGGACTGAATCTCTGAAACTTAAGCAAGACCAAACTAAATGTTTTATTTATTTTATAAGAGTTGTCATCTGAGATCTCTGTTCTCTGTGTTCGGTCGTGTCTGGTAGTCCGCAAGTAAAGCTCTTGCCCATGTAGTCATGGCCTCCCGAAACACATATATCAGAAAGCTGGCCCTTGACTTCATAGTCACTGTGGTGGTCGATGGCATCTTCAAGAAAGTCAATCTTTCAGATCAGAGAGGGAAGTACGTGGTCCTCTTTTTCTACCTGAAGGACTTCTCTTTCGTACATCCTACAGAGATCATTGCTTTTAGCAACCACGCTGAGGACTTCCAAAAGCTGGGCTGCAAGGTGCTCAAAGTGTCTGTGGACTATCTCAGCTCATGAAAAGTTGGCTTTGTATGAAATATGAGGCAAAACAAAAATACCACAAAGGAAAGAGTTATTTGTCTGATTTAATCTAATTAGCCTAGTAAGGTAAAAGTCAGCTCCCTTTCAGTACATTTTATAGAAACTGATGAAGAAATGCATGATTTGGTTTTTATCTTCTCCCCTACCCTAAGTTTTCTCATGCACATTTGCTTACAACTAACTTTTTCATTTAAATACATTTTGAAGCTGAGCGTGGTGGTGTATACTTATAATTCCAGCACTCAGAAAGTTGAAGCAGGAGGTTTAACCCAATTCCAAGCCCAGCCTGGACTACAATAGTGTTCAGGGCTAGCCTCAGTCAAACAGTAAACCTCTATCTCAAAACCCTCACATATATGTGTATATGTATATATGTGTGTGTGTGTGTGTGTGTGTGTGTGTGTATGTATGTGTATATATGTGTGTGTTTTTATATATAAAGTTTTTTATATGTAAAAGTTTGGGGGGAGGGGCTAGAGAGATGGCTCAGTGGTTAAGAGCATTGGCAGCTCTTCTAGAGGTCCTGAGTTCAATTCCCAGCAACCACATAATGGCTTATAGGCATCTATAATGGGATCTGATGCCTTCTTCTGGCATGCAGGTGTACATGCAGATAGAGTATCATATATATAAGATAAAAAAGGTTTTCATTTCCATATTAAGTACCAGATCTCATTATAGATGGTTGTGAGCCACCATGTGGTTGCTGAGAACTGAACTCAGGACCTCTGGAAGAACAGCCAGTATTCTTAACCTCTGAGCAATCTCTCCAGCCTAATGATTATATTTTAAATCTAATACTTGTTTAATCTTTATGTAAATATCCATTCAAGCTTCCAGGCAGAGCTGAGTTCTCACCATTATGATATAACTTAGTCACCTCAGTAATTATCTGCCTTCAAGTCAATTTTATTCTCCTTTTAATATAGTTTACCAGTTTTAGAATATTGGATATATTTTAATTATTTCCCTTTGTAATGTCTACCTTTTGAAATAGGGTCTTGATATAGTCTAAACTAATGGGTCCAACTGGTCCTCCTGCCCTCAGATTCCTGGCTGAAACTTTTTTTGTTTTTCCATTAGAACATTTATATTTATTATACTTAGTAACATTTGGGTTTATTTTCAGCTATTCTTTGTGCTTTTTATCTATTATACTTCATCATGTGGGAGGGTACTGAGATTAAACTCACATGCTAGGCAAGTGCTTTACCACTGAACAATATCAGCAGCTCTTTTTGTTCTGTTCTTTTCTTCCCTTTTTATGTCTGTGCATATGTGGTAAGCTTGTGTGTGTGTATGTGTGTGTATGTAGACCAGAGGCTACCTCTATTGCTCTCTACCCTATTTTTTAAAGTTTTACTTATTTAATGTGTGTGTTTTGCCTATATGTATGTATGTGTGCCACATATGTACATAATGGATTGTTGTGTGTGTACGTGTGTGTATGAGAGAGACATATGGATGCATGTGCATGTCAGAAGACAACTTAGTGGAAACAGTTCTCTCCTTTACCTTCACATGGGTTCCAGGGATCAGACCTCAGATCAACAGGCTTGCACAGCAAGTACCCTGACTTGCTGACCATTTCATGGCCTGAATACCAGAATAATTACTTTTTAAAAATGTTTCTGGGACTGGTGAGATGGCTGTGTGGGTAGAAGCACTTACCAACAAGGCTGACTACCTGAGTTCTGTCCCTGGGACCCATGTAATGGAAGAATGACTCCTATGGGTTGTCCTCCAACCTCCAAACGTGTGCCTCCACATGTAAGTCATGGAATGCACAAAAATCTGTATGAATATGTGATGCCTTTAATGCTAGCACTTGGAAGGCAGAATGAGGGCAATCTCTGTGACTTCAAGGCCAGCTTGATCTACATAGCTAAGTATCAGGGTAATCAAGATTACTGTGAGAAACAAAATAAATACACAAACAAACAAATTTCTCTGGAAGAATGAAGGCCACAGTTAAATAAGAACTATATGTAATATCCCTCATTCTAGCAGCCTTGGCATTTGAGTTAAAATTTTTATATGTAATTCTAGGATCACCATTTTCTATATAAAATTCTACCTCCAGAGAATCAATATAATTACTTCTTAAGTCCTGAAAGTTCAGTCTGGTAAAATTGAGCTACAAAACAGAGAGGCATAGACAGTATTTGGGGAAGAGGAGGAAGCTTTAAGAATAGTGCATAAAGGAAGAAGGTTCCATGAATAAGCTTCAGCTGAAGTTTCTATTCTCATTAGTTTTCTTCCAGATTCATGTATGTACCCACTGTTAAAACGCCAGCCAACTACTATAAGGAAACACTGCAGAGATTCTAGAACCAGGTATAATTAGAAAGAAGCACTCTCTACCTGGCAGTGGTGGCGCACACCTTTAATCCCAGCACACGGGAGGCAGAGGCAGGTGGATCTCTGTAAGTTTGATGCCAGCCTGGTCTACAAGAGCTAGTTTCAGGACAGGCACCAAAGTTACAGAGAAACCTTGTCTCAAAGAGAGAGAGAGAGAGAGAGAGAGAGAGAGAGAGAGAGAGAGAAAGAGAGAGAGAGAGAGAGGGAGACATTCTCGTCAATGAATTCCCAACTGTGTTCCCAAGCTTCTTTCTCAGCATATTCGAGGTCTTTCTTCCTTGAAAATTTTGTTTCATTCTTTCTATTTCCTAACAGTCTATGCTAATATGGCCCTTCAGCATTAAGTTCACATTCCTATGAAATACTTCTGTTCTTTACCCACCAGTCTTGAATCATGTGGCTCCTGCAATTTTTTTTCTGATTTGATCCAGGTGTCACTTTCTCAGGGTAGCCTAGCTCAACAGGCTTTAAGCCTTTATCTCAATTTGTAGGTGTACAATGGACACCTACAGAATCTCATATCCAATTGAACTAATAGAGCCTCGGCTCGATAAAAGGAGTGTCATTAGCTAGTTTTACTCACTGCTGTTATCCATGCATTTGCAACCTATCAAGTGTTCCAGGAGCATCTGGTTAATGAGGGATTGAGTGAAGGAACGCATTAACTAACCAGAGACTAGTAACTCGGAGGCCCGATGTGCTAAGAATGCTATTAATTATGTCATCTTAAGGTGAAACCATGAACAGTGTCTTTCCTCTTATTGGCGTTGAACTTGTCCACGCACAAAATAAAGTATTAAATAGACCTCGGAAAGTGAACCAAGAGTAAACAAACGTCAGTTAAAAAAAAAGTTGGGTACCCTTAACCCAAGGATGTAGTCTATCCTACAAATGGCCCAAACACCGTATTTCTGCAGTGTCTTAGTATCTTTCTAGAGCTTTTGATTGTCTGCTCATGGCAGGATTTGGCACAAGGTCTAAAGATTCTGGAGGCTTCCTACCTTGAACCCTTTACACGCTCAGCTCAGAGAAAGGCCAGCTGGGGATAACAGCGGAACGATGGGCATTTAAAGTGTATTTACTGAGTGCCTACGGTGTACCAGGCATTCCTCCTTGTGGAGCGACTCTGACAGACCAGCAACGAGCCTCCAGGACCCCCAAGGGCGGCACTGGGCCTGCCTACCTCAAAAGGCCAGGCTCACAGGTGACAAACAACGTGCTCCCGCATGTAGCAGGGACACGAAGGCCGGCGGCCGTAAGCCGACCTGAGCGGAGAGAGGCAGCTGCGGTGCAGGCACTTACCCGTCGGGCGAATACTCGAGGTTGAAGACAGCCCCGTGGGTGCGGGTGCTGAGGTACACGGAGTCCGCGGGGTGGATGGAACCATACAGATTCGTCATCGTGCGGAAGTTGTCCCGCGCCGGGTCCACGAACAGCCCGCGGCCGAGGCTCCGCTCCCTCAGCCACCCGAACAGTCGGGCGCCAGGGCCT